CTAAAAATCCAGGCTCTGCCACTCACCATAAGACCTATGACAAGTCATTTAATCTCTTTGTGCCTCTGTCCCTGTCTGTAAATCAGGCACAGAAACAGGGTAACAGTGAGGATGAAGTATGTCAGATCCTTAGAACAATGTCTGGTTTAGAGTAGGTATTATTCGTAACATTTACTTTGTCATTAGCCCACTGTCTGTATCAAATGTGTTGGTGATAATTCAATGGCTGTACAGGACTCAGTGATTTGCTAGAATATACACTTAAAATTAAGAAAGGAAAAATAACTTTTCTAGAACTTAAAATCCTGAAAACTGATGACTATATAGACACAAGTTTCCCCTAGTTAAAAAGTGTGCTGAGTGGAGGAATAACTTTCCCAACTGCAAAGTTTTTATTTGGAAAAAACAAGATTCTATAGCCAAATGAAAAGTTTGTTGACAAAATGCTGTTTACCAAAAGATACTAAGCATTCAACTCACTTGACTTAATGTGTCTATTTTATGCAACTGAACATATTTCCATATTTACTTTTCTCTTCGAGACGCACAATTTTCTTTATTCAAGAAAGGAAAGGAATGTTTTAAAATCTAATCACTAGTCTATCTAAGTAACTTTTGGCAAGGAGTAAGAGGATTTGTAATAATAGTCATGTTTTAATTAGGCCTACCTGAATTTCTGAAATTTGAAATAAAACATTGAATTTTTTCTCTGCTTACATTAAGAAAAAAATCTTATCCTGATTTCAGATGAGAAAGTTTGCCGTGGTCAAATTGCTATGGATATTTTAAATATGAAGTATGTTACTTCAGCTCACCTGTAGTTTCATTTTAATAATTAGATGCCGGGCGCGGTGGCTCAAGCCTGTAATCCCAGCACTTTGGGAGGCCGAGGTGGGTGGATCACTAGGTCAAAAGATCGAAACCATCCTGGTCAACATGGTGAAACCCTGTCTCTACTAAAAATACAAAAATTAGCTGGGCATGGTTGCGCGTGCCTGTAATCACAGCTACTCAAGAGGCTAAGGCAGGAGAATTGCCTGAACTCAGAAGGTGGAAGTTGCGGTGAGCCAAGATCGTGCCATTGCACTCCAGCCTGGGTAACAAGAGCGAAACTCCGTCTCAAAAATAATAATAATAATAATAATTAGATGCACAAAGTGCAAATCATGAATCAGTTGAGAGCTGTATGAATACATGGCTGCACCTGAACATGTGAGGTCTTGTCTTAGATGGAAACAAGATGTTGGTGCCATTTAGTTCTTTAGGACCTCCTTTTAAATGGAAGCCCAGAAAAGAGCTATGGCTTTATATTAATGTTCTTGAGTATTACATAGGCTCACCAGAGCTGACTCCATTTTGGTGAATTCAACAGAGCCCTGGAGCTTTGTAAGAGTGTGAAGAAGTTAAAAAAAAAAAAAAAAAAAAAGGCAGCATAACATGTTAAAGAAGAAGAGAGGAGAAAAGAATATTATAACCTCTGTCATAAAACTAGCAGAAGCAAACAAGCCAAAAAAAAGTATGAAAAAGTTATCCTTGAAGATACTGAATGGGCTTGAGAAAAAAGCTACCAGAGCATTTGGTGAAATACTTTTCCCAAGGCAAGGCTTTCTTCACTCCCCCACCCACCTTTTTGGTTTTCTGTTCTCTGACAGCCAATAAATAATGCTTCATACTCCTTAATAATGATGTTTTGGTCATTATTATATTCCCATTAATATATTGGGAACTCATTTGCAAAAATGTAAAATCCTATTTCTCCAAAGGTTGATAATTTACAGAAAAAGGACAAAGGATAAGGTAAGTCATAAGAAAACTAACAGAGGAGAAATAAATGTCCATTTGATAGCTAATCTTTGCAAATAAAAATTGGTTGCTAGCTTTACAAAGTATGCTACAAATCTACAATTTAGAATTCAGGAGTATTCTAGTTTTTATGTTTTCAGAAAAATATGTTAAAAAATTCTGTATTATTTTTTGTTCTTGTAAACAGCCTGTAAAAACATAATAAAACTAGATGAAAACGATTTTGTGTAAGAACACAATTTCAGTTGATCTTTTTCATGTAAATTGAAGTACAGGATACATAAACACTAAAGAACTGCCCACTACATGCAGTACCCTGGGGCAATGCTACTCAGCATGTTGTTCTCAGTACCAGCAGCAAAGGCATCACCTGGGAGCTTGTCAGAAACGGCATTCTCGGCCGGGTGTGGTGGCTCATGCCTGTAATCCTAGCATTTTGGGAGGCCAAGGCAAGTGGATGACTTGAGGTCAGGAGTTCGAGACAAGCCCAGGCAACGTGGGGAAACCCCATCTCTTCTAAAAATACAAAAATTAGCCAGGTGTGGTGACTTACACCTGTAGTCCCAGCTACTCGGGAGACTGAAGTGGGAGGATCACTTGAGCCTAGGAGGCACAGGTTGCAGTGAGCTGAGATCGTGCCACTGCACTCCAGCCTGGGTGACAGAGGGAGAGACCCTGTCTCAAAAAAAAAAAAAGAAAAGAGTCTCAGGCCCCACCACAGGCCCGCTCCATCAGCATCAGAATCCTGTTAGTTTGCCAAAAGATTCTGCTGCCTGCTCTAAGGCAGTGATTGTCAGGGCAGAATCAGTGTTAGGGGACCTCCTGAAAAGACACCAGCCAGGGCTCTGCCCCTGGGGGCCTGGAGGGAGGAGGAACAAAGGCACTTACATTTTAAAGCTTCACAGTGATCCGAGGCACCTTCTTGGTTAATAATTCATCCTTTAAAAGAACAGAAAACCAAACACGGCATGTTATCACTCATAGGCAGGTGTTGAACAATTAGAATACGTGGACCCAGGGAGGGGAGCATCAGACATGGTGGTCAGTTGCGGGGGTGGGGAGGGATAATGAGGGGAGAAATACCAGATAGCGGAGATGGGGGATGAAGGCAGCAAACCACCTTGCCATGTATGTACCTATGCAACAATCCTGCATGATTCGCACATGTACCCCAGAACCTAAATTTTAAAAAATATATTTTAACTAAAATCTTGGACTAAAATTTCTCATTATTGCCAATAAACCTTACTCTTGCTAGTAATCCAGTTTGTTCCACACAACAGGTGGTGGTGGGAGATTAGAAACACATGTATTCTCACCTTTTCCTATGACTCACTGACACAATAATCATCAGAATTTATTTTCAATTCAAAATAAGATTCTCTATTGCTGTTCTTCAAAATAACTACCTTCTTGCTACGTAAAGTTTCACCGAAGGGAACATTTTTTTTCCAGCTTGACGCCATTCTGGTCCCCCCCCCCCCATTTCCTCAATGCCAATAGTCCTTCCTGTAGTCTTAAATATTAAGCAATTTTACTTTAATTTACATCCAATAATTGATACTTGTTAAAATACTGATTGGTAAGTAACAAGGAAAATAGGGAGCTTTTTTAAAAAAAAATTGAATTGCTTCATTTAAGCAGGCTATATGCCATTTAGCCTATTTTTTCCTTAAAATACTTAATAACTTCCATGAAGACTGTACTAGATGTGCTTAATAAGCAAGCTTCTTAGTAAAATTACTTTAATTCAGCACACGTTCCTGCCTTCAGTAAGTACCAAGCAAGAAACACGTTTACACTTATTGTACTTCTTATGTTGAACTAAAGTAACAATTTCACGGAGTATTTTTAGGGGTGATTTTGTTTTGATAAAGGGAACACGAAAAACAGAAGCCTCTCAGCCAGGTGCAATGGTGCACACCTTTGGTCCAAGCCGCTCAGGTGGCTGAGGTGGGAGGAGAGCTTGAACCAGGAGTTCCAGGCTACAGTGCTCTATGACTGTGCCTGTGAATAGCCACTGCCCTCTAGCAAGGGCAACATAGCAAAATTCTGTATCTAAAACAAACCAAAACTCAAAAACCTTTCATCTTTAATTAGAAGAAAGAAACTGTGACCATATGTTATGAAAAAACTTCTGACTTTACTCATCTGTTCAATGTATTAGCCAACTGCATTTTCCCATACTCCCAAATGGCAATGCCCTTGCAATAAATTATATTCAAAATTATTATGAATTGGGCCAGGTGTGGTGGCTCACGCCTGTAATCCCAGCATTTTGGGAGCCCAAGGTTGGTGGATCATCTGAAGTCAGGAGCTTGCGACCAGCCTGGCCAACATGGTGAAATCCTCTCTCTACTAAAAATACAAAAATTAGCTACGTGTGGTGGTGGGTGCCTATAATCCCAGCTACTTGGGAGGCTGAGGTAGGAGAATGGCTTGAACCCAGGAGGCAGAGGTTGCAGTGAGTTGAGATTGTGCTATTGCACTCCAACCTGGGCGACAAGGTGAGACTCTGTCTCCAAAAAAAAAAAAAAAAAATTATTATTAATCAATTTCTATAGGCAGAAGATGAAAAAACTGAAGCCTTTTTCCTACAAAGCGATATAAAATACTGTGCATACTCATACTATCGATGACTATCTGTTGTTACTATCCTAGAATGAGCATTTAAAAGTTTTCTTCCCTCAAAGGAACCATGGTAGGCAGATACATTTTCCTTTAGAATTCTCCAATATGCAAGCCACATAAGAAAATTGTTCTCATTAGCCATTATTATTTTACTGGGATTGAAAAGGGCATTTCCTGGATGAATACCACCAACCTTATTCATCCCCACTTAGCTCTAAATTAATTTTGGTGGTTTAAAAAAATTAAATCTGCCTTCAATGGTGAGAGTTGTCACTACTAATGATATTCAAAGAAATAGTATCATAGTAACATTTGTAACATTCTAAAATTACCTCAAGTAATAAAGAACATCAGTGCTGGAATAAGGGCATAGTTTCTCCAGTTAAATATGACTCATTTTGATGTGAAGTATGACTTAGATTTTAAAAGTCATGTGATGTCTCCCATATGTGTTATGTATCCTATACTCCCTCCTAGAATCTTCTAGAAGTAATGAAAATATGTGTTTTTCATAATAAGCAAATCTAAATTTCTAGTTGGGCAGTAAGACAGCATAACTGAAGCAATTAAATTGAAGAAATTTATTAAATAAAAAGGTTACACTATGATTTTTATACACTGTTGAAACAATGACTTTTATTTATTTAAACCCAGCAGTAGTACCCATTACTCTCATAATGTTATAGTTAAGCCTTGATGTAGTTCCAGAAAATAAATAGGGTAAAATTTTAATATTTCCCTAGCTTAGTCTGCTATAAGGGAATTTCAGAGTATGAAGGTAAGATGAAGCAGATATAGAAGAACATTTTTAGATACTGACAATTTTTCCTTGGAATTTAGTTAAAATTTAGTTTCTTCTCGAAATTCTGTCCTTCTATCCATAGATTTCTATTTTAGTAGCTCTAAAAGAACTAGGTGAGAGAAGATTATTACCCATAATAGTAAATAGCAAATACTTTGGCAAGTCTGAATTAGAGTATAAATGAAGACATTCACAAACACCCTTTTTACATCTCCTGGATGTGGCATGAGCTGTATGTTAGAATTAGAAAGCATCACAATTATCTGATTGTAGGGTGCTGGAGGGCAATGCAATCCATCAACACGTCTACTCCAACAGATGTGAAGATGCATGGAAAAAATACATCAACCAAAGTGGTCAGGGAGAACAAAACACGGAAAACATCATAAAACTGAGGGCATTATCTCTTCTCATCTGAAAAAAGGGGTTCCCTGGCGCACAGAAAGTATTTATCAGGGGAGTGCTTCTATTCTGTTATCACAGGAGGGCTTGATGCAGATTCTGGCCATTCATACACATCTGGCAGCAGGGAATCATATTCACTCCGCCATATTCTTTCTTTAACATATTTGGCCTTGTCTTCAGGTTCTGGATATCGGAAAGCCATTTTATTAGCATACAGGTATTCTGTGACCTGAAAAATAAATAAGATTATTGCGTAGGCTCTGAGTATTAACCTATTAGAGAGACAACATACTATTATAACACAGGAAAATAAGTTTAGAAGAATGGTATTTTTCTTTTTTCAAAACAAAGAATAACATTACTTTGATTCATTTCAAAACATTTGGAAACTATGGAAAGTTGAAGAGATAAAATCAAACACTTTTAAGTTCTACTGTGTGTCACTCCAGTAAATACATATAAGTAACCTGCCAAGAGAGAGAGACCACGATGAAAATCTAACCCAAGCTCTGCCTCTTCTATTCACCCCTTTCTTCTTTGCTTCTAGAAAGAAAAGCCTATGCCACTGCAGCACACTCTCTACGCCTGCCTCCGGGGAAGCGCAGAGACGTGAACCTGGGCCCGTGCACCTGTACTAATCCCAAGCAGAGGTCTCCTTCTACGACCTTATGTGCTACCTCTCATTTGGACATACCAATTATCTCTCTTTTTCTTCCTTAGAGACAAGGTCTTGCTCTGTCACCCAGACTGGAACACACTGGTATGAACATAGCTCACTGCAGCCTTGGCCTCCTGGGCTTAAGCAATCCTCCCACCCCAGCCTCCTGAGTAGCTGGGACTACAGGCACATATCACTGTGCCTGGCTAATTTTTTTTTTTTTTTTTTTTTGGTAGAGGTGAGATCTTGCTTTGTTGTCTAGGACTGGTGTCAAACTTACAGCCTCAAGCCATCCTCCTGCCTTGGCTTTTGAAAGTGCTGTGATTACAGGAGTGAGTCACTGTGCCTGGCCCAGTAATCTCTTAACTGACCAATATCTTCCAAAATCTGCCCCACCTGAAATATTATTCTATAAATTCTAAAATTGAACTCTATCATCCTAGTTCTGGGCTCTAAAATCTTCAATTGTTTTACAGTAGAAGGTAATCACACTCTGTAGCCTGGCATTTGTAAATTGGTATAGCTGGCTTTAATATAACTTTCAAATTTTTTTAATGCCATTTTCCTACCTGTTCCTTAGACTCCAGGCTCAACTATTATTCTGAAAACATACCACTTCCCAATCTTTGCTTAGGTTATAGGCACCAAAATAATGCAATAATAAAATTAATAGTCAAGGCTGGGCATGGTGGCTCACCCCTAAAATCCCAGTATTTTGGGAGGCCAAGGCGGGCAGATCTCCTGAGCTCAAGAGTTTGAGATCAGTCTGGGCAACACTGCAAAACTCTGTCCCTACCACAAATGCAAAAAAAATTATCTGGACATGGTGGCACATGCCTATGGTCCCAGCTACTCGGGAGGCTGAGGTGGGAGGATTGCTTTAGCCTAGGAGGCAGAGGTAGCAGGGAGCTGAGGCCACACTGCTGCACTACAACGTGGGTGACAGTGTAAAATCCTGTCTCAAAAAAATAAAAATAAAAAAAAATTAATGGTCAAAATGATAAAATTTTATCATCATCTATATAGAAGTTGAAATTGTGGTTGATAAATTCCACAGTCAATCCTGATGTTTAAGAAAAATCTTAGTAATACAAATAGAAGCCTACTTCTTTTAAAAAGTAGAAAATACTTATTTCAATCAAAAGCTAGCATCATATTTAATATTACCATACAAAGATGTTAGTCAGGTGTGGTGGCATGTACTCTAGCTACTCAGGAGGTTGCGGTAGAAGGATCACTTGAGCCTAGGAGTTTGAAATCAGCTTGGCAATACAGACTGTCTATAAATTGAAAAAAAAAAATACAAGAATGCCTTTACCCATCTAATTGCTTAAAACTATTCTGCAGTTTCAGCTAATTTATAGTTACAGAAAAAAAGGACTATGCATATTAAAAAAGAAAAAATTACTTGCAGACAATTAAAAACTCAACAATCCCAAATGAAATGAAAAACTATTGACTGTTCAAAAAACTGGTTATCAAGTAAATTCATAAAAATGAATATGTTTTCAAATTAGAGTTATTATGCCTACCTTTTCCTACATATTAGAAATGATCAGTAAGAAAATACTTGGAAAGAAAAAAATGTCTATTAGAATAACAGAAATTTTAAAATATTTTTGAAAAAAAGTAAAAATGCCATATTCAAATGAAGAAAACAAAATTATATTGAAAGATTTTTTTGAAAAGACCTTAATAAGTAAAGAGAGATACTGACTGGAGAATACTCAATACTGAAAGACCCAATTTCACCAATCTAATTTATAAATGTAATAATTTCATACCAAAGTTGCAGAGTTTTTTAAATTAAAAAAACGGATACAAAAATTTATCTTAAAAAAAAAAAAATTGAGAACAGACAAGAAAATACTGAAAAAGCATAATGATGGGAAAGATAAAGAACCAAATGTTCCCACATTATACACATTATAAAAATTAAAACACAGGAGGCTGAGGCAGGACAGTCACTTGAACCAGGCAGTTGGAGGCTGCAGTAAGCTGAGAATGCACCACTGCACTCCAGCCTGGATGACAGAGCGAGATGCTGTCTCAAAAAAAAAAAAAAAAAAAAAAAAAAAAAATTAAAACAGTGTCAGATACTAAATAAAAATGGTCAGGAATAGAAATCCCAAGAACAGATTCAACTTCCAATTAACTGGAAACAACAGATGCGTTAATCAATAAATAATGCTGGGGCGACTGATTAACTACTCAGGAAAAAAACGTTTCCCTTTCTCATATCATGCATTAAAATAAAACCCAGAGAGATTAAAAAATTTTATTTTAGAAAATGCAAGTAAATATTTATGATTTGGACAGAAGGCATTAATATTCACAAAAGGTGAGGACAAAATCCAAAAAATAAACAAATAATTCCATAAAAAACTTTAAAAAGACACATCAAACAATTCTATAAAGTTAAAACAAATGACAAATGTAAAAACATCTGCACCACAGCAAACAGGAGGATCACTACACTTAATATATAAAAAGCCCTCAGAAATCAATACCAGAAAGTAGAAAGGCAAATATCTAATACAAGAAAGAGCAAAAGTCATGAAAAAGTAGTTCATTGAAGAAGCAGGCGGATCACGAGGTCAGAGGATCGAGACCATCCTGGCCAACATGGTGAAACCTGTCTCTACTAAAAATACACAAATTAGCTGGTGTGGTGATTTGTGCCTGTAATCCCAGCTACTCGGGAGGCTGAAGCAGGAGAATCGCTTGAACCAGGGAGTTGAAGTTGCAGTGAGCAGAGATTGATTGTGCCACTGCAACCTGGCGATCCAGCGAGACTCTGTCTCAAAGAAAATACGATTGTTGAATAAATAAAAAAATTCTTCAATCTCACTAATAAATGCCTTAAATAAAAACAAGAAACAAAACAATTTTCACCTATTAAATATGCAAGATTAAAAAAATAATTCTAACTATTGGCAAAAGTGTGGAAAAAGATACACACATATCTAATTGCTGCAATGTAAATCAGTACTTACTTTCTGAAGAGATTATTTGACAATAGGCATCAGAAGCCTTAAACACCTTAAAAACCTTGGTTTAAGCTTAGAACTTATCACAAAGAAAAACCATCACAAATGCACACATAGACTTATCTGTAAGGATGGCTGTTCACTACACTGTTATAATTATTATTATTATTATTATTATTATTATTATTTTTGAGAGAGAGCTTTGCTCTTGTTGCCAGGCTGAAGTACAGTGGTGCTATCTCAGTTCACTGCAACCTCCATCTCCCAGGTTCAAGCAATTATCCTGCCTCAGCCTCCTAAGTAGCTGGGATTATAGGCATGTGTCACCACCACCTGAGATCTGGAGTTCGAGACCAGCCTAACCAACACGGAGAAACCCCATCTCTACTAATAATTTTGTATTTTTAATAGAGATGGGGTTTCTCCGTGTTGGTTAGGCTGGTCTCAAACTCCCGGCCTCAGGTGATCCGCCTTCCTTGACTTCCCAAAGTGTTGGGATTATAGGTGTGAGCCACTGCGCCCAGCCTCTGCAGCCTTCTAAATATTTCAGATTTAGCTCTAATAAATTTGTATTTCTTGTATAAGAAAATGTCATTAAAATTAATATGAAGTTTAAGTTATTACTTACTTTAATAGCAATGTTAATAGAAACTTCCTGAATATTAGAAAGTGGTGGGTAAAGTCTCCCTTGGGCTAGCTCTTCATCTGTCAATTGGCTTGTTAGTGCCTGAAGAGAAAAACAACATTTGCTTTTTTTTTTTTTTTTTTAAATAACAGAATAAAGACCCTGTAAAATGGAAAAAGCACTGGGGAAACAGAGTAATACAGGTAATATAATTTCCCTTATTTCTTTTTTTTCTTTCTTTTTTTTTTTTTTTAAATAAATTTTACATTTTATTCTTTTTTAAGACGGGGTTTCACCATGTTGGTCAGGCTGGTCTTGACCTCCCGACCGCAGGTGATCCGCCTGCCTTGGCCTCCAGAGTGCTTGGATTACAGGCATGAGCCACCACGCCCAGCCCAATTTCCCTTACTTCTTGAAGGAATATACTTAAACCACTTCAGAAATTATAACCATTCACCACTAACCAATAAATAACCAGATTTAAAGACTTATTGATATATTTTACTTTACATTATACACATAGAGCTTGGCTTAATTGCAATGGCTACTTTGAAAACAGACATTAATTGTATTAATGTGAGTTATTCAGAAATAATTCAAAGTTTGGAGCTCCCATAGGCTAGCACTCCAAATAAGAACCAATACTTGTCCATTAAAAACATGCAAGGAATTATCTATGCTGTCACAGTATATCCAGATAAGTACAGTCTAAAAGTGTTATTAAGAGGATTCAGTTTACAAACATATGAAAAGTCATGATTAAAAACACAATTTTATGCATAAATAGGCAATTCATAAAATTTATGAGTAACTTCATTAATAAGGCAGATTTAACCCATTCTCTCCCTGCTTTTAATTTTCAGATCTGTTCATCTTTATAATTTTTATTTTCAGATCTGTTCATCCTTTAAAAAATAAACAACATTTAAAATATTTACCTTTGCAGCTTCTAGGAAAACACTGTCACTAATATGCCGAGTGTTACAGAGAATAACAGCTAAAGCCACACCTAGAATACATTTTAAAGTTTACTTAGTAAGATCACTTTTCAAATTATGAAAGAAGTCAATTCCTATGTTCAGGCAAATAGATGGTAACCCAACCACATCCCAAACAGCTCCCAAAAAAACAGAAATCTGAGTTAAAATCAAACAATCTTTCGTTTAATGATTCTTATTTGCTAAATAATTTTAGAAATATCAAATGGCTTTTCTCAGTTCAGTACATTTATGAAAATTACAAATACATACAATTAATCAACACTTGTTTTAATACCCAGTTCCCAGCACACCTCTAACCCTCTATTTCTTGCTTTACAGAGGCAATGACTTTCAATTTTTTTTTTTTGCTGATTAATGTTTCTCTCACTCTTAAATAACTTATGTTTCTTGTGATTTTTTTTCTCTTTTTTTTTGCCCTCTCTTATTGTGCTGATCCTGTGATTTCTGAGTTTTGGAGATCACTGACTCCTTCCTGTGAAAGTTAAATATTTAGTGCTCTTATATTTTCAGCTTTCTCTCTTCTTCCCAGTATAGTTAGAGCAAATTTTGGTTCAATCACCACTATTCAATGTTCATATTATTATGACTTCATAAATGCTATTCACAGTTGAGCCATGCATTAATACTATATCATGATTACTTTTCCTTTTCTGCTTAACTGTGTCTTTCCTGAAGTTAATAATTGTCCTTTTTTACTTTGATTTTTTAGTACTTAACGTTGTTATTTCACCCTGAAATCTCACTCAATCGTCTAAATCCTTCTTCTATTTTAGCTACTTTAAATATTCTCTCATTTCTTTCTTTTTTGAGATGAATCTCGCCCTGTTGCCCAGGCTCGAGTGCAATGGCGCAATCTCAGCTGACTGCAACCTCCGCCAGATTCGAGCGATTCTCCTGCCTCAGCCTCCCAAGTAGCTGGGACTACAGGTGTACACCACCACGCCTGGCTAATTTTCTGTATCTTTAGTAGAAACGGGGTTTCACCATGTGGGCCAGGCTGGTCTCAATCTCCTGACCTCATGATCTGCCCGCCTCGGCCTCCCAAATGTGCTGGGATTACAGGTGTGAGTGAACCACTGCACCCGACCTATTTTCTCTAATTTCATGCTCTAGAATAAATCTCTGCTAAAGCTCCATTCCGGTCTGGCTATCCCCCATTCCAGCTATGGGGCTGTCAACTTAGAAAACCACTTTATCATCATGGGCCTCTTTGCTTCTAAGTTGACTCCATTTCCTAAATCCAACTTTTCCTGACTTTTTTGTTACTCCCTCTTTTGGTAGGGTACATTCTCCCATGGCTTTCTGAAGAATAGTGCAGGGGAGATACATATTTTTTGAAATCTTGCATTTCTGAAAATGTGTTTGTTTACTCCTTTCTACTTATACTTGATAGTTTGTCTAGGTTTAGAATTCTGGCTTGGAAATATTTTTCCTTCAGAACTGTGAGGTATTATTCCAATACCATCTAGCTTCTCTACTGCTGGTGAGAAGCATCAATTTATCCTTTTGAGGTGATTGTTTTTGTTTAATTTCTGGATGCATGTAGAATCCCTTTTTAATTTTTTTTTTTTGCAACAGGTCTCACTCTGTCACCCAGAGTGGAGTACAGTGGCACAATCATAGATCACTGCAGCTTCAAACTCCATGGGCTCAAGCGATCCTCCTACCTCAGCTTGCTGAGTAGCTGGGATTACAGGCATGTACCATTACATCTGGCTAATCTTTTTAAATTTTTTTGTAGAGACAGGGTCTTACTATGTTTCTTAGGCTGGTTTCAAACAATCCTCTTGCCTCAGCCTCCCAAAGTGCTGGGATTACAGGCATGAGCCATCAAGCCCAGCCAGATCCTTATTTTTAAACCTAATGGTCTGCAATTTCATAACACTGTGCCTTGATGTGCATTATTTTAACTCATCATGTTTAGCATTCAGTCAGTAGGTGCTTCCTATCTGAAAGCTTAAGTCTTTCACTTTTGGGAAATGTTTGTGAAGTCTTGCAGATTCATTTCCCTCCGTTTTTCTGTTCTTGCTCCCTGAAATCTGTATTTTCTGATATCATACCTCTTGGATTGGCTAATTTTCTGCTTTATTTTCCTTATTTTGTCCTTTGCTCTATTTTGAGGTAACTCAATCATCTTTCTTCTATCTTTCTGCTACAAACTTCACTTTTAGGAGCTTGTTTTGCTAATTTTTTAAAAAATAAAATTCTGTCTTCTTTATGGGATATAATATTTTGTCCCCCTGAGGATACTGATAATTTTTAAAACTTTCCTTTTCTTCCCATTATCCTTGTTTTTTCCTCCCAAGATGTCTTTTCCTGTCTGTCTGCTTTGGTCTCTTTTATGAAACTCTTTCATAAAGAGACTTTCCTCAGATGACTAGTAATCTTTGAGCATTTCTCATTTAAAGGTTAAGAACTAAAGAAAATGATTGGAAGCTATGAGGGTGGGATTTTTACTGCCTCTGAGCATACAGGCTTTTAAACTTCCTGTTTTCTAGCACCTCTGTCCTCAACTATGTCTGGTGTCTCCCAGTCTAGAAACAATGTTTACTCTATTCAAAGACTATCCCAGCCAGCTTTCAGAAAGGTTAGTTGTCAGATTACCCAGGGCTGAGAAGGTCACACAGTTAACAGCATTTTTAAGTAGAGAATTTGGCCTATCTACATTTAATGTAGTTTTTTTTTTTTTTTAAGTAGCTGGGGCAGATTTCACCCCACTTAGTCCCATCACTCTCATCTCATCTTGCCTTGCTTATTCTATGTTCCTTTTCCTCTTCATTCTTGCTTTTCAAATTTTTGTTAAGCTGGGCACGGTGGCTCAAGCCTGTAATCCCAGCACTTTGGGAGGCCGAGGCGGGTGGATCATGAGGTCAAGAGATCGAGACCATCCTGGTCAACATGGTGAAACCCCGTCTCTACTAAAAATACAAAAAGTTAGCTGGGCATGGTGGTGCGTGCCTGTAATCCCAGCTACTCAGGAGGCTGAGACAGGAGAATTGCTTGAACCCAGGAGGCGGAGGTTGCAGTGAGCCGAGATCGCGCCATTGCACTCCAGCCTGGGTAACAAGAGCAAAACTCTGTCTCAAAAAAAAAAAAAAAAAAAAATTTTGTTGTCTCATTTCATCCCAACATTGCCTTACCATAAACAGGAAGTCTCTGTAGTATTCTAATGGTTATCCTAAATTTTTTTATCATGCAACTTAAACTACCAAAATTCCACATTAATTTTTTTCTTTTTTTTGAGACAGGCTCTTGCTCTATCACCCAGGCTAGAGTGCAGTGACACGACAAAAGCTTGCTGTAACCTCAAACTCCTGGGCTCAAGCAATCCTCCAGCCTCAGTGCCCTGAGTAGCTCAGACTACAGGCATATGTCACCACACCTGGCTAATTAAAAAAAAATTTTTTTTGGTAGAGACACAGTCTCCCTATGTTGCCAGGGCTCGTCTCTCAAACTCTTGGCCTCAAGTGATCCTCCCGCCTTGATATGCTAAAGTGCTGGGATTATGGGTATGAGCCAACATCTTCAGCTCCACATTAATTTTTAATTTACCTTCCTACCAATCAATGTAAGTCCCTCATAACAGTTTAACTCTATTTAACTGAGCTATTATTGTTGTGCATTTTAATTATCTCTCTGTATTTTTCAAAATGCCTATCATTTTTGTTTCACTCTATAAAAACAACATTAATTTTGTCATACCTACGCTCTTATAACTTCGTTGCTCTTCATTCCTTCCTACATCTCAGAGTTTCTATGTAGGATTATTTTCTTTTTCCCTAAGTAACAAAATTTCCTTTCCTTTAATATAAAAATGATCTGCCAGGTGGTGAATCCTCGGTTTTCTGTTTTTCTGAAAATGTCTTCATTTTGCCTAATTCTTGAAGAATATTTTCACTGTGTCATGAATTCTAGGTTGGCAAGTATTTCCCATAAGCAACTTTAATAGGTCATTCCACTGTCTCAGTATCTTATTGTCACTGGGCAATCTGCTGTCAGTCTAATGGTCATTTCTTTGAAGGAAATCTTTGTGTTCTGGCTGCTTTCATATTCTTCTCTTTGTGGTGACTATAAAGCCTCACAATAATGATTCTAGATGTAGATTTCTTTTCATGCATCTCACATGGGTTTCTATGAGCTTTTTGAATATTGATTGTCAATCATCAGTTCTAAAAAAAACCTCAGCCATGAGGCCTGCAAATGTTGCATCTGCTTCAATTCTCATTTCTTCTAGGACTTTAATTAAAGATATATCAATGAAATGTCTCTTACCTACTTTTCCAGGTTTTCCTTTTTTTTTTTTTTGGTCTATTTTCCGGTTGATTAATTCTCTATAGTCTAATCTGCCATAAGCCTCATTCACTCAGTTTTTTGTTTTTGTTTTGTTGTTTTTGTTTGTTTGTTTTTTTTGAGACAGCATCTTGCTCTGTCACCCAGGCTAGAGAACAGTGGCTCAATCACGACTCACTCCAGCCTTGACCTCCCAAGCTCAAGTGATGCTCCTATCTCAGCCTCCTGGGTAGGTAGGACTACAGACATATGCCACCAAGCCTAATATATATATTTTTAATTTTGTAAAGATGGGGATCTTACTATGTTTCCAGGGCTGGTCTCAAAATCCTGGGCTCCAGCGATTCTTCTGCCTTGACCTCCGAAAGTGCTAGAACTGTAGGCATGAACCATCACACCCGGCCCACTCAGTTCTTATAGATTACTACATTTTTCAATTCTAGAATTTAGTGGCACTTGTCTAAATTTTCAAGATTGGCTTTTATCTCTATAAACATAAGCGTATGTTTCATGGCGTTTGTCTTATATCTAGGGTTTTAGTATGTCTGTTCTTCGTGGTTTTGCTGGTTTTGGCTGTTGTCATGTCTCTTTACGTGCCTCATTATCTTTTTTTCTACTTAGGTTGTACTTGAAGATTTACTTATAAAAATAATTTGAGAACTAGGATAGTGAGGACTAGGATAGTGTTATCTCATTTCAGAGAAATTTTTGTTTGCTT